TTCCCCCTATTCTTATTTTTCACTCCCCCTCTTTCTAATGTTTTTGTTGGTTTGCCTTTATGTACCACTTTACTGGTCTGCCTACCCCTATCACTTTGTAGAAAAAAGAATTGAGTTCTTCTTCATTCCTGCTCTCATTTAAACGTTTTGCCTCGGCGAGGTTCAGTTTCAGCTTCTCTCTATCTTCTTTTGAAAGATCTCGTCTTAACAACCACACTTTCCCATCCTCATCACTTTGTAATTTTCTAGCATTCCTTAGTACTTCTTCCATCTGTTTGGCACCATTTAGGGTGATCCTCAAAGGTCGATCTTTCCCTTTTACATATCTTTCTATTCTCCTGTAATCGCACACATTCTCTATGGTTGTAAGACCTCCCACGAGGCCAACAATTTTATCTACTACTTTTGCTTCTTCTACAGCTCTTTCTGACCTAGATGTTATCTCCTTTTCTTTGCAGCCAAAAATGATAAGGGACTTACTCTGATCAACTGTGTTTTGCACCAACTTCGGGTTAGATGCCAATTCTTTTCTCACTTCCAGCCTAATGTTTATTTTATCTTGGTTGCTGCAGTGTTTGACTTCCTTAACTGCTTCTTCTATTTTTTCTTTCTCCTTGGCCTTTTCTTTCTCACTTGTGCATAGGTGAGTTGCATATCTTTCTTGCACTGTTTTATTCTCTGTGTAACTTCTTCCATCTGTGCTTACAAAAGCTGTTTCTCCTGTTGAATTTCCTTACCTAATCTATTGTAGTCATTTATATTTAAATTTACTTTAACTTCTTCCAAAGCTATTTTTAAGAGTTAATTTTCTTCTTCCATGTCTTTGCAATTGGTTTTTATCCTTGCACAAGTCTTTTACTATATCCTCAAGACATAAAACTTTGCTATTCAAGTGGTCATTACTTTCTTTCAATTTACTAATTATTTCTACATGAGAGTTCACTATAGTATCCAATTTTACCAACTTGTTATGTAGACTGCTAATATCAATGCTTTCTTCATTGAATCCCGCAAAATCAAGCTCTGTATGTTTTTCCTCTTGCCAGTGGCCATCTTGAATGTTCTTCTCTGCACTGGAAACACTAGGGCAACTTTTTCTCATCTGATTTTTCACTTAACTTAGCACATTCCTGTTATCTCACCTATTTTTCAAAAGCACTATACCTTTATGTTCTCTGGGATACCACTCACTATCGTTACCCTGTACTACAAAACTTAGGATTGTTGAAATATGCTGGAGCTCCTCTGATGCAAGTGTTGACCCTAGGGGTGTCACCTTTTTTCTTGTGTGTGTGTGCACATGTGTATGTGCATATGCACGTGTACTCACCTAATTGTGCATGCGGGGGTTGAGCTTTGGCTGTTTGGTTCCGCCTCTCAACGTGTGTGTAACATACCTTGTGTGTATGTGTATGTATATATACATGATATGTATATATATGTGTATGTGTGCTTTTTCTTTCAGAAGGGGCTCTGTTCCCTTCTCTGTTGACGGGGTGCTGGGGGAGCAGCGTGCTCTGTTGACTCTCACATGGTCCCGCAGTTAGTGGGCGCTTTTGGTTGTCTTCCGGCCTCTGGTGGAGGCGGTGGACGGCTTCTCCCCCTTTGGGGGGTTCAGGGCTGGCGGGGTGGGCTTCTTTCCCTGCGCTTCGTCATGTCATCTTAGTGGATGCGGTGGACGTGGTCAATCTGCCCCATCCTTCTGGGGTTCCCGTCTGCTCTTTGCAGACATGTGCCTGTCGAATCTGCGGTTCTTCTGGAATTCTTCAGTCTGCGCCCTGGATTCTATGCCCTCATCGGAGGACTGTTGTCTCCTGTCCGGCTTCTGTTGGTGCCGGGTGCCTGGATGGTGGCCCTGGACCTCCAGGTCAATTCTTGGCACGTTCCTCTCCAGTTTTCCGGGACTGGCACAGTTGGTAGTGGGGCTTCAGGCTTGCCGCTTTTGTTGCCTTCCCTATTTTGTAATTGGCTCTTGGTGTAATTTTTGCATCTTTACCGGATCTTGGTGCCCTGTCTGAGTCTGCTTGGGATTCGGTGTCTGGCCTACCTCGACGACTGGCTGGTGTGGGCTCCCAGTCAGTCCGCTTGTCTGCTCGCCAGGGGTGTGGTTCTTTCCAGATCACCAGGTTTGGTTTCCTGGTGATCTGGAAGCCATTCCATTTGTTTCCGTCCTGGGTTTGGACCTGGCTGGGCCTTGTTTAGGGCCTATTGGGCCGCTCCTTGTCTTTCTCTCCAGAAGTGCTCACCTCACCTAGTTGTACTCACCTAGTTGTGTTTGCGGGGGTTGAGCTCTGGCTCTTTGGTCCCGCCAAAGTGTTGCTGCGGCTGTGGTCCCGCCTTCGGCTGTTCATGAGGGGGGTCCCGGGTTGCTCAGCGGTTGCTCGAGCAGTTGTGCGGGAGCAGAACTTCGACGTGCTGGTCTGCCCGCAGGGTCGGGTTTAGCTTCAGCGTCTGTTTGGTTCCTTCAGAGACTCCCCTTCCGCCTCTCTTGCAATCGTTGGATTCGTTCCTCCGGGGATCTTGTGTTGGTGCTGCGTCACCAGCTTCCGCTTTGGGGTTTTCAGGGTTCCGTGCCTTGGCACCTCCCCGAGCCTTCCCTTGAATTGTTCACGGACGGGTCATCTTTCGGCTGGGGCTTTGTGACCAGTGCTCACCAGGTCGGCCGGGGATGGTGGGGTCTGTCCGTTCGTTGGGCTCACAGCACGGTTCGGGAGTTCGTGGCTGTCTGGTTTGCGCTTCGGAGGGTTTGGGTCACTCGGTGCTCTTCCATTCAGCTCCATTCGGACTGTTCTCTGGCGGTTCTTTGCCGAAACCACAGGGTTTCTCTTAGGTGTTGATCTTTGGAGTTGGTTCCTTAGAGTGGCTCGTTGCTGGACTCTTGGGATTTGGCTAACCGTGAGGTTCATGTCCAGGGTGTGTCCTGCGTCCTGGGGGACAACTGTCTCAGTTCATTCCACTGTTCGCGGATTGGCCATCCGTCGCCAACTTGTTTCGTTGGCTCTGCCGGACGTATGAACTCCTGGCCATGGACGTCTTCGAGCTGGCGTGGTTTAGGCGTCGCCCATTTTATGTGGCCCCCTTACTCGCCTGCGAGGCGTTCACGGTGGATGCTTTTTGGCAGGACTGGTCGAGGTGGGGGTACCTGTTCCTCTTCTCCCGGTCCAGCTATTGCTTCAGGTTCTGGCTCGGTTGGAGCCCATTCCCACGAGAGTAGTCCTTATGGTTCCTTGGTGGCCAGCCCAGCTTTATTTTCAGACGCTGCTTGATAGGTGTTTTCCCGCGGCTCCGCCTCTTTCGGCAGGTCGGGTCGGTCCTGTACGTGATTGGTTCGGCCTTCTCCTCGGCTCTTAGTGTCTGGTATTTTGACGCGTGTATCACGATCTCTGTGGTGATCAGGTGGCTTTGTTGACGGTGTCCCACCTGTGAGCTTCGTCTTGGCGACAGTATGATGTTCATAGTGTTTCTATGCACTTATTCTTGCTCTTCGTAGGTTGTCCTCTCTTTCACATTGGGTTGTCTTGTCCTTTCTTGGGTTTTCAGGACTACAGTTATTTGATGTTTCTTACTGTCGCCTCGTTTTGTGCGGCGCTGGCAGAGCCGCTCCAGCTTGCGTTTGGGGTGGACGTCACATCTGCCCCGTTTCGTACGCTTTCTCGTGTTTTGTTTCACCTCCGGCCTGCTCATGCGCCGCCTGAGCCGTCCTGGCCCTTGATCAGGGTGTCTTCTTATCTTCTCCTCAGTTTGTGGTAGCCCCTTCGGTTCAGGTTTCTGCTCTTTGGTACTGGTGGTAGGTTTGTACGTTTGCAGCCTTTCTCCGTCCTGGCGACGGTCGAGACGGCTGCCTTCGGAGGGGTTCTTGGGTTATTGATGCTTGATTGGTTTGGCCGGGGGTGCGTCCTGTGTTGTCCGGTTGCGCTTTTTGCCATTACCTGCGTACTGTGTCTGGGAATGCGCTTTGGGTTGTTCCGATTCCTCTCGTTCCCTGTTTCAGGGCTCGGGTCTCCCAGGTCGTCCGCAGAGTTTTTCAGTCTTCCAGCCTGCGGTTTGTCCTTGCGCCCATGCTGTTTGGATATTTGCAGCTTTTGCTGCTGTATTGGTGACATCTAGGGCTCATTTCGGGCGCAGGGATTTGAGGGTCGCATAGGTTCTTGGCCGGCCATTCTTTATGCGCATCTGCTCCTGTGCGTTCTTGTGGCCTTAGGTTGCAGCCTGTTGTCTCGGCTTCGCGTTGCGGAGTTTGTGGCGGCCACCTCCCGGGTTAGCCCTTTCTTTTCCTTCTCTTTGGGTATGAAGCTCCAGGGAGCCGTAGGGGCTCCCCACAGAAAACCAGCATTGAATGTAATGAAACGCCATTTTCTGGGTGAGCCCCGGAGGCTCCCTGGCAACCCTCCTTCCCACCGGTTGGCATTTTTTTCGTGTTGGTTGAAACTTAGCTTCTGAACTGAAGCTAGGCAGCCGGTGCGGTAGGTCCGGAGCTCCTCCCTCCTCCTCTCGGGGCGGGGAGGGCTGCGCGGACGATCGCCGCAGCAGTAAAGTGTGATGTTTGCTTGTTTGCTTGTTTCCTTGGGATTGTAGGGAGTTTCTACCTCTCTGTTCATTTTTTTGTTTTAGTTTTTACCATGTGGGGTTTGTTTTGTTATGCCTATCGTTCTGGGTGCCTAACCCCGGTTGATGGCGGATAAGGAGAACCCCAACCACAAGGGGGTTTTCCAGGGCCATTGCTCCCTGAAACCTCTCTGAAGGGCCCAGGTTCTGGCGCTGGTCCCTGGTAGGTCTGAACTCCTTAGCTAATGTCCCGGTCTAATATAATATACATTAGCCCGATAAGCTCCAGGGAGCCTCCGGACTCACCCAGAAAATGGCGTTTCATTACATTCAACGCTGGTTTTTAACATTCACTATGCACCTATCATGAAGTGGCCTCACTGAAAAAAAACTGCATGCAAAAGCAATTAGAATACCAAAATGATGTAATTCACTGTATATCTTTGTTGACCTAGGTAAAGCTACAGTCATCATGTGATGGGAGACCAGGAGCTGAAGCAAGTCTGACTCCAACTTATTTTGTGGCCTTCCATGTATACTAGGTACGACTATTTAGAAATTGGAACTATATGGCAACATCATTTATTGACAAAATATGTTTTATATGATGGCTGCATTTTACTAAGCCGCCATCATGTAAAGTTGGTAGCACTTTGAGTAAATAATGGTGCTATTTACGCTAGTTTATATTTTTCATTGTTTTATATTTAGCCTGGAGTCCTACACTTAAATCTATAAATGGCTTCACTGGGCTGGCGGAGAGGTTAGCTGACCTCATTTACCTAACCTTGCCCCAAGTCAGGTCACTGCCACACCCCTAGATTACTGCTCTCGTCACACACTGTACTCTTCCACTTAATTCTTACAAAAACATTTTGTTTCTGTACATTTCCTTTGACTATCGTTCAATAACTTTTAGACAATTTCTCACCGATTTGGCTTATTTATCCCTCCTAAATACATTGTTGTTTCACAGCCACTTTCCCTCTCACTTACACTTCTGTACTTTTATCATTTCAGTGAAGTTATTCAATTTTGGTAAATTTCTTATCAACCTGCAGAGCCCAACATTGCTACTGCTGTGCTATAGGCACAATACATTTACAAAACCTTAGTTGCATTTCTTATCTTTATCTGTGGTATACTTTTTCCTATTAGTTGGCCTTTTTACAGCTTTGTCCGCACTGTCACTCTCTGATATTTCTTTATCTTGGCACCAAATTGGTAAAGCAGCTAATGACAATGATATTTTAATGTTCGCATTAATGCTGCAACTTTTGTTAATTGGATATTTTGTAAATAAATTTATAGAATAACCAAGCTTAGATAATTTAAAATTCATCAAACACATAATAATGTTTATCTACCTTGTTATATGGAATAAGTGTTTTATATCCACTCAGCACCACTTGGAAGAAAGAATACAAGTGTATATTTTGTCAAAAATATACACTTGTATTCTTATGTACACCTACATAACTGTATCATACAGATACAGTTATGTAGGTATAGCTAGGCTACTCTGTGTAGTTCCAGTAAAAATTCTGCATTATAATTGTCCCTAAATGTTTATTCCAAATAAAGGCAATTATAATTTAGTATAATTTTGCATTCATCCTATTTACTGATGCTATACATATGAAAATTATGAAAGGAGAATATATTGTAATGTAGCTTATGATTTCATATTGGCTAATTGCACTTTACTTTTTCTGGTAGACTACCCAATAGTCCCCTCACAAGCTTATATACAAAGTAACCTAAATCTTAGAGCTCCACGCGAGGCCTCTTTATACCTATTTGTTGCCAACCGGAAACCAGGATCAAGATGTGGTTTATTCTCCAAGGTAAAGGGGAGCTTGGTCATCAGAGATTAACCCATTACTAGGGTAAACCCAACCAGAAAGTATAGGTGCAACATAATAAACAACTGAATTGCTTATTGCATGAAAACTCATGCCATTTGAGTGACAAAAGTGATTCTCCATTTAACTAGGGAAGCAATCATTTTTGCTGTGGAGCCTCCCTGTGGGCTATGACAAATCCCTCCACCCCCAAATCCCACAGAGGGATGCAGGAGATACTGGGACCTACTTTAGTTCTGGGAGGGCCCCCCTCAGTAGCTCAAATAGCTTAGTCATAATGAAGCCTCAACAGAAGCCACTGAAATCTGAAAAGAAAAAATTGTAAAACAGAATAGGTGGTCTTGGCTTACTCATGGGAGAACCGCTGAAGATGAGTCCATGGCCAAAGAACATCATTGGTGTGCCATATGCTCAAGTGCCACGTAGGCATGGTGAGGCAAACGAATATGCAATAATGGGAGGCCAATAGCTTGCTGGACTGCCAAAATCCCTGAGTCTGGATACACAGTATTGGCAAAGGAAGCCAATAAAGCAGCAAACTTACACAAATCATGAATGTGAGGATACACAGCTAACTGGCTGAACCAAACCATATGGATGACACCTGGAAGGCCATGAAAAAAGAACAAGAAAAACAACCATCATTCATCACAGAATGAGTAGCGTGCAAATAACACAGATTCCGCTCGTTTTCCAGAGTCTCATTTATAGCCAAGAACAAAGAAAATGATCTACCAGGTTGTGGCATGATGTGTGACAGCCGAGAGCAAGGACCAAAGCAGAAAAGCAGCAAGGACCAAAAGAAAAGCAGCCAACCAGCGTTGACTAATGAAATGCCAGTTTCTGGGATAGCTCCAGTGGCTCTCTGAAGCTATGCTGTGATGGTACCATCTACTAGGTCACATCAGCCATGGAGTTCTATAGGCCTACCAGGGGCCAGTGCCAGAACCTGGCACACCTTCGTATTGCTGAAACGAGGCAGAGAGAGCAGTACCAAGGCGCACCCGAAAGGAACGACGAGAGAGGAAGCTGCGTAGAAAGAGAGGGAGATGACCACGAAGGCCAAAAGAATGAAGTTGAGATAGAATATGATATAGCCAAGTGGTGTCGTAAGCCTTTTCCAGGTCAAAAAGGACGGCAACAACGGAGGTCTTCGCAGCAAAAGCAGTACGAATATAGACCTCCAAGTTCACCAGGACATCTGTCGTGCTGCGGCACTTGCGGAAACCAAATTGAGAAGGGGAGAGGAGGTGATGGTGTTCCAGGAACCACATCAGACGAACGTTAACCATACGTTCAAAGAGTTTGCAGACACAACTTGTGAGAGCAATAGGGCGAAAGTCCTTAGGGGAAGTACCCAGAGACCCCGGTTTGCGAACAGGGAGGACAACGGCATCGAGCCAGTCCTCAGGGACTGACGACGACTCCCAGATCCGATTATACAGACTCAGTAAATACTGAGACGTGCACGGAGGGAGATGGCGAAGCATCTCATAATGAATACCATCGGAGACCGCCGCCGTAGAACCGCAGAGGGCCAGGGCAGAACGAAGTTCAGAGAGAGAGAAGGGATCATTGTAGGGAAGTTGAAGACTGCAGAAATCTAAAGGACGAGACTCAAGGACAGGTTTACGAAGAAGAAAAGATTGGGGAAGATGAAGACCAGAGCTAACAGAAGAAAAGTGGGAACCCAGTACGGAAGCGACCTGCAACGGGTCCGCCACAAGAGTATCATGGAGGTGAAGGACCGGTGAAACATCGGGAGGGTCTGGTTGAAGCACGTGCCTGTGAGGAGGGTCAGAAAGAGGACCACTCTAGAAAGAGAACGCAGACGACTGTACAGGAGAAGGAAAAAAATATAGGAAATGCTTCAGCAGACACAACTATCACAAGCAAGGAAAATAAGCCTATGCAGGGAGATCGAAGAAATAGAACAAACGTTGAAGCAATCATATGAGTCTGAGGAAATGGAATTGGAACAGAAAGCTATACAAGAGATAAAGAAAAATCCAAAATACTTTTTCACATACGCAAAATCAAAATAAAAAACTTCAACCAGTATTGGACCGTTAATTACAAATGAAGGTACGTACACAGAGGACAACAAAGAGATTAGTGAAATTCTAAGAAGCTAGTATGAGGCTATGTTTAGCACACCAATAAACAACATGAAAGTTGATGACCCAGACAGCTTCTTTATGAATGACATTCAAGCTGCAGATAATATAACGGATATTACCACAAACTCGGAAGACTTTGAAAGATAAATTGACAATATGCCCATGCACTCAGCTCCTGAGCCTGACTCATGGAATTCAATATTTCTGAGGTTGGAAGAAAACGCGCTCAGAGTGGGAACTTGTTTATTTTATAATAGTAAAATAAATAATAAAGTAAAATAATAACAGTATAATAAATAATAAAGTAAAATTTATAATAAACAATAAATTAGTAATAAATTAATAAATAATAAATAAATAACTATTATTATATAATAATAATAATATAATAATAAAAACAAATAGTATAATGATAAGCAATAATTTAAATGTATCAAATAGCTAATTAGGGTGAATGATAAATAATTAGTGACTGTAATGCATAACAATAAAGTAGTAAAGAATAATTATAATGAATAATCATTATAATGATAAAGTATTAAATCAAATACAATTAATAGTTACATCTATAGTTAGCAATTGAAAGTTGCATTATTTGAATTTACACTAATTACAATTCATGTTAATATTTCTTAGCTATCTGCAGGCTTATCACTTTGGGGGATCCAGCGGAGTACCCCCCATCCCGCGAGGGCCAGCGGCGCGGAACCCCCAACCCCGAAGGGCGAGCGGCGGCTGGCCGCTGTAACTAGGAATGTGACTACATGCACTGTGGCTGTAACCATGCCCGTGACAGGTTCCCCTGACTGAAAGTTACCAAACCGGGTTTACTAGACAGATGCTGCAAGTGAAACGGCTTCCTTGATGAGGCGAACGAAGTGCCATCGCAACGGGCCATGGGCATAGTGAGGCAAGAGCCCACCAACTAGACCTTGTGAGGCGAGTGTTCCTCGCCAACCTTTAACTAGGAATGTGGCCACTCGTTTCCGTGACAGCAACTGTGCCCGTATCACAAGAGAGGGCATTAAAAACAGTCGGGTTCTTCCTGGCTTAAAAGGGGGCCCAACCGGTTCTACTAGGCAGATGCTTCAAGTTAAACAGCGTCCTTGGTGAGGCCAACGGAGCATCATCGCGACGATCCACAGAGCGTAGAGAGGCAAGGTGAACCTCCCATGCCATGTCCTTGTGAGGTGATCGTACAACAGGGATTGTGCACCCGAGTAGGGGGCGCCGTGCCCGCTGTCGTAAGACTGGTCATCGCTGGAGCCCACCCTCACAGGGACCAATCCTGTAATACTGGCCCCAGGGCGGGCGTGTGAAGTCACCTACACCGAAGGCCGACTCCCCAGGATCGACCCTGTGTCCGTTGTTGTCGCTGCGGCCCGCCCCACTGCTACCTGGTTGATGGGGTTCTGGGAGTTCTTCTACTCCCCAAGCCCGGCCCGAGGCCAGGCTTGACTTGTGAGAGTTTGGTCCACCAGGCTGTTGCTTGAAGCGGCCCGCAGGCCCACATACCCACCACAGCCCGGTTGGTCCGGCACTCCTTTGAGAAATAAATCTAGTTTCCTCTTGAAAATGTCCACGGTTGTTTCGGCAATATTTCTTATGCTTGCTGGGAGGACGTTGAACAACCGCGGACCTCTGATGTTTATACAGTGGTCTCTGATTGTGCCTATGGCACCTCTGCTCTTCACTGGTTCTATTCTACATTTTCTTCCATATCGTTCACTCCAGTACGTTGTTATTTTACTGTGTAGATTTGGTGCTTGGCCCTCCAGTATCTTCCAGGTGTATATTATTTGATATCTCTCTCGTCTTCTTTCTAGTGAGTACATTTGGAGGGCTTCGAGACGATCCCAATAATTTAGGTGCTTTATTGCGTCTATGCGTGCCGTATATGTTCTCTGTATTCGCTCTATTTCAGCAATCTCTCCTGTTCTGGAGGGGGAAGTGAGTACTGAGCAGTACTCAAGACGGGACAACACAAGTGACTTGAAGAGTACAACCATTGTGATGGGATCCCTAGATTTGAAAGTTCTCGTAATCCATCCTATCATTTTTCTGGCTGTCGCAATATTTGCTTGGTTATGCTCCTTAAACGTTAGGTCGTCAGACATTATTATTCCCAAATCCTTTACATGCTGTTTTCCTACTATGGGTACATTTGATTGTGTTATGTACTTTGTATTATGTTTAAGGTCCTCATTTTTACCGTACCTGAGTACCTGGAATTTATCACTGTTAAACATCATGTTATTTTCTGATGCCCAGTCGAAAACTTTATTAATATCAGCTTGAAGTTTTTCAATGTCTTCAGCCGAGGTTATTTTCATACTGATTTTTGTGTCATCTGCAAAGGATGATACGAAGCTGTGACTTGTATTTTTGTCTATATCTGATATGAGAATAAGGAAAAGCAGCGGTGCAAGGACTGTACCCTGAGGTACAGAGCTTTTAACTGCACTTGAACTAGATTTTATATGGTTGACCGTTACTCGCTGAGTCCTGTTTGACAGAAAACTGAGTATCCAGCGTCCTACTTTACCGGTTATTCCCATTGACTTCATTTTGTGTGCTATCACGCCATGGTCACATTTATCGAAAGCCTTTGCG